GACAGTTGGGAATAGATAACAAAGTTCCTTTCTTCTTTTGATGAGATTTGACTCTCAAATATGGCTGTCACCATCTGCATGGTGGGACCATACCCTTCTTGAGGGATGGAAATGATCTGGACCACATTTGGTCTGGGATTTTTTGCTCCCAGCCCAGACTCACTCTGGTCTGCCTTGCTGGGTGACTTTATTAAGCTAGAGAACAGACAGGGAGTTTTTGCCCTGGGGATAGTTGCTAAGGCTGCCTCCTCCCCTCAGGGGCCTGGTGATGGCTGCCCACTCCCCCTTGTTGACTCCAGGAACGGCTGGACTCGAATCCCAGAAATGAAGTCCCAGAACATGGGTTACCTGCCTTTAGGCCCATGGCTCAGTGGGCCAGGTTTCTGCAAGACATTCTGTGCCACATAGCTGTTTTGAGCTCTCAGGTTCGTGAGCATCAAATCCAATGTGTGTGGGCCCCATACTCGTGTGGATGGTTAAACATGCTCACAAACTGGGCGGAGTGTCTGAATAAAGGTATCATTGCTACAATGAAAACCAGAGGGTGAAACAGAAAATGATTTTAACAGAAAAAGTTTATTTTAAGAAGACACAAACAGCTCTAGCTATATAAAGAATACAGTTCAATTGCTGGTAGCAAGCCAGTAAGGAATGCCTTTTTTTTTTAAATTTTATTTTAGAGAAAGACAAGAAAAACCCTTTGTAATGTCACTCCACAGAGGGCTCCCTTCCATTTTGTGTTGGAATCCTAAAATGACTGGGATCGTGATCTCTCCTACTTTCTGCTGCTTCTTGAAATGTTAGGGACACATTCTCAGCTCTAGGAGATGTGTCTTACCTGTACCTTCCAGTTTACGGTATTGGTCTGTAAATTCTTGTCTCCCTTATTTTTCTAAGTGCATTGTTGGCACTCAGTAAGTACTAAATGGTAAGGGCTAACTTAACAAAAGTCCACCTCCTGACTGCATACTAGGACTGGCCAATGCTGATTCCTCAGTTTGCTTTTGGCAAATGTAGTATTTTTGCTGCTTTTGGATCCAAGGCACAAGCCTGGTTTCCCTTCCTAATTCTGGAAATCCTAAACAGAAGGCATAAAGAAACTGTTTCATGGATGCTTTTAAATAGGGAAATCCTGAAAATTATTTGCATCACTGATTTTCAAAAATTTAGATTTCAGTAAGTGGGTAGATCCCTGGGCTCAAATGACAGAAATCAAGCTAAAGATTTTAAGAAGCAATTTGCTGCGCTAGGAAAAGCTGCAGCCTGAGAGCTAGGTCTGAATGACTGAGTCAACATCAAATTAGAGTGCTAGCCCTCTGTATGTCGGCCTGTTTTGAATTGCCAGTGGAAAGAAAGTTTCAAGAGGCAAGAAAGGGCAAATGCTTCAGGAGCCCCCACCATCCCTTTCTTGACCAGTCTCATCAGATCTGGACCTAAGCCAGAGAACCGATGAGGGTGCTGGACTCTGTGTGTGTGTGTGTGTGTGTGTGTGTGCGCGCGCGTGCATGTGCACATGTATGGTGTGATTTGGGAATTTATTAGCCCTCACAGTCCAGGTTGAGAACCCAAACTCACACAGACACATACATGTCATCCATTCTATAACCACAACGTTTATATGAGAAAATGTGAAAATGTGAATCTGAGCTTCAGACTCCCAAGAAGCATGAGAGTTGGAGATGGGAACAGGATGGAGAGAGACGTGAAGAAGCTTTAGGACAGAATCCATTTAGAGGTTCAAAACACAGGAGGAGGTGGTGTGCTGAATGTCTCGTGGCTGTGTTGTTGCATGGGCAATCCCAAGGAGCTCATCCCAGGGGCCGAGGGTCCAGAAGGCAGGGAAAAACTGTGGGCACAGAATATCTTCTGCACCTCATTGGTTTTCTCGCTAGGGCTGAGTGCTCTGTCCAGAACAGGTCAAAACTGCATTAGGAAATGGATACATGGATATTCCAGGTTTAAAAACCAGCCTTTGGAACCTGGTGATTTCCCTAGGAAATCGTAGGCTGAACTGGAATCCTACGGCCTGGGCTGCCAGACTTTCCAACGATAGCCCTAAACTCATGATACTAGTATAAGGCAGGACAGGGTGGACCAGGGTGGGGGTCCCCAACCACATATTTGGGGGAGAAGTTATGGAACAAAATAAGAGAACTCAGAAATTCCCTCCTTCCAGTTTACCCTAAACCGAGGGAAGCAGAGGCACATTGGGTAACAAGGATAGGTCTGGGGAAAAAAATGAGGGTTTCTACACTGAGGTAGTCAGTGAGAGAGAGAGAGAGAGAGAGCTCATAAAGGACACTCGATTGAAGAGTAATGGTTGGCATATGCAGCCCCCCTCCACTTGCCCCTGTGCAGTCAGACTGGTCTGACAATGCAGTAGATGGGAAGGCAATAAACCACATCAGCTACTGCACAACTCAGTTATCAAATGGGGCAGTTCACAGAAATGCTTGTCCCAGAAGACAGTCTGGATCAGGGGTCAGCCTAAGGCTTTGCATAGCCCATGAGCTAAGAAAGGTTTACATTGGCAGGGTGCGGTAGCTCACGCCTGTAATTCCAGCACTTTGGGAGGCCGAGGCAGGCGGATCACAAGGTTAGGAGATCAAGAACATCCTGGCCAATATGGTGAAACTCCGTCTCTACTAAAAATACCAAAAAAAAAAAAAAAAAAATAGCTGGGCATGGTGGCACGCGCCTGTAGTCCCAGCTACCCGGGAAGCTGAGGCAGGAGAATCGCCTGAACCCGGGAGGCAGAGGTTGTAATGAGCCAAGATTGCACCATTGCCCTCCAGCCTGGCTGAGGGAGACTCCATCTCAAAAAAAAAAGTGGTTTACATTATCCAAAGGTTGCAAAATGAACGAATGAACAAACAGCAACAACAAAGAAGAATGTGCTACAGAGAACACATGTAGCCCACAAAGCCTAAAATAGTCACTGTCTTAACCTTTACAGAATTTGTCAATCTCCTATCTAGATGATGGGGGAAATCTCACCAATTTCTGGTGAGAAGCCTCTGAGCATCCTCGAAAAGAGAAACCAGAGGAGGTCCAGGAGAAACAAGGGAATAATGGAAAATAAACGGAAATGCCAATCAGTTTGACTAGTGTGCTTCTAAAAGATGCACAGCTTGCAATTCCACAGAATAGTAAGGTATGCATGTACTAAGGAAGGAGGCCCCAACTAAAGAGACAGCAACACTAAGGAACATTAGGCAAAGAATGTTCTGGAAAAGAGACTGCATGGGGAGCTTTGTACTGATTAGCAAATTCTGTTATTGTTTGGTAAGATGGAGCTGGAATTTGAGCCCAGGGATTGCTAGAATATCAAGCCAGGTGAAATTTCTAGAACACAACTAAATATCTCATGAGCATTTAATAGTCTGAAAATTTCTCATAAAGATTAAGAAGGGAAGGCTACGGTGGCTCACGCCTGTAATCCCAGCACTTTGGGAGGCCGAGACGGGCGGATCACGAGGTCAGGAGATCGAGACGGTGAAACACCTTCTCTACTAAAAATACAAAAAAATTAGCCGGGCGTGGAGGCTGGGGCAGGAGAATGGCGTGAACCCGGGAGGCGGAGCTTGCAGTGAGCTGAGATCGCGCCACCACACTCCAGACTGGGTGACTGAGCAAGACCCCGTCTCAAAAAAAAAAAAAAAAGAAAAAAGAAAAAAAAAAAGAAGGGAAGGCTAAAGTAGATTCTGGGAAAGCTAATATTGGTTGGGTTGTACCCTACTTTTAAATAAACACCAAATACAAAAGTTTGCACTAAAAAAAGTAGAGACACTATGGGAAAATGACGAGGAATCTCAGTTTTTCAAAAAGAAGTCACCAGAAGGTTCCCTTATATAGGAAGTTTACCTATGAAAAAATGATACTTGATATATAAAAAATTCATTTTTCACACAACTTTTAGGGAAAACATCCATTGTACTAAGTAGGGTACACATATCGAATTTGGAGGGAAACTAATGTTTCTAACCTGAAAATCCAATTTGTCTTTGGATTAATGAATTAAAGAACTCTTGAATACTTTCTCTTAAAGCACATATATTAGTTCATTGTAATACCTGGGAAATTCATGTGTCATAAAAGTAGAAGCCAGCTGTGGGTCTTCTATAAATTGTAGTGCTTTAAATGAAACCACACTGGACCCAAGGGCAGGAGACCTGGAATTGAGGCTGGGCCCCACAGCTGACTCACTGTGTGACCTTGTATATAAGTTATTTGAACTTTCTGGGCCTCAGCTTCCTCATGAGTGAAATGAGAGAGGTTGGTCCCTTTCAGCTCTAACATTCCAAGACTGCAGATAAATATAGAAATAAGATAAATACAACAATCTAGAAATAAGAAGTATTCCCCAAAGTAAGCTTTGGAGTCAGTAGAAAAAAGTAGCAATGAAATATAATAAAAAGAATAAAATTTTAACCACTAGCCGGGGTAAATATATCTCATTTAAAAATGAATGAAAAAGTTTGTAATTGACAATTCATCAGAAGACCTCAGAACACACATATATTGATACTTCTTCGCCATGATACACATGGGGGAAGGAATGAATTTGAGGTGACTTGTACAATGAGCACAATGATGCGTTTGCATGCATAACGTTTTATAAAATTGGATGTTAGAAAAAGCTCAAGACCACCTAAGGAATAAATGTCTATAAAGCTTGGCATTACAAAGAGGCTGAGAGGGGTTAACTAGTTGTTCCAGTTCAGATTTTGTTTTGGAGTTCGTTGCTATCAAATTCCACTATTTAGGCAAAAATCTTAAAATCAAATCTACTTCTGCCAGAGCCATGGTGAAGACAGGTATTTAAGAGCTGGCAATACCAAACAAACCTAACACCTTTCCCTTTTTTTTCCATTTGTGAGTTTAAAAACTCTTTTTTTTTTTTTTTTTTTTTAAACCCAAAGCAGGCCAGATGTGCTGGCTAAGTCAAATCAAAGATTTTGTAGGTTGAGCAATTTGTTGATCCAATATGATAAGTTCTCTTTTTTTTTTTTTTTTTTTTGAGCATATGCACCGGAGTCCCATAAAACATGAGACTTCTCAATCTGATAATTTCTTAAAACCAAACAAACATATGCCTGACCAAAATAACAATATACACCTCTTGGCCAGAGACTGGTCATTATGATGAGAGCCAAAATAATGGTAAAGGTTGGAATCAGTTGGAGAGTGGTGGCTATAGTGATTCAGGGGCTTGAAGGAGTAACATCACTGGAACGCGCGCGCACACACACACCCCCACACACTCTCTCTCTCTCTCTCTCTCTCTCTCTCCAGGGATGCTGCTGTTGCTGCTCCTGGAACTGCACTTTGAGAACGATTGGCCTAGATTTTGGGCTTTACTGAACAAAAGTATAATGCCCGTTTCACATTGCTCATTACTCATGCAAATGTCTTCTTGCTAATCTTATTAAAAACGCCCCAAATGTGTGTCTATAACTATTTACTATGTATTCCTCTATAAATCTGTTTCAAAGTATTCTAAAACTTTGCTTATTTCATATTATGTTTATATCATTATACTTTTTGCTGCATTTTGACAAAGGCACTTCCTTATACCTCTTTCCCACTCTCTTGTCCTTTTAAATCCCTAATATCCTTGTCACTTGTAGCTGAAATACATGCAAAGGCTTTGAGAGGACTGGGGGCTCTGGTATAGATATAGTCTCATTTTCACACCAAGCTGGACTGATAGCCCATAACAGAGATGAAGCAGAGAAAGCAGAAGCTTGTAAAGGTAAGCTTATTGGAGGTAAAGTTGTACCTCCAATAAGTTTAATAATCACCACCAATACTGGACAACTGACATTGACGGGACATGGATTGGACAGTTTCACCTTTCACAAACAGGACATATTTTCACAGACTCTTTAAATCCTTGTGTTCTTTACTCAAATGGTAAGTAGTATTAATTTCATTTATGTAAAAATGTCAATGTACAATATGAATGATCTAGACCTTCTCAGTGGCTTTTAGTAGCCATTTCTGAGAGTCCCTTGGTAGTAACCATATTGAATAGCATTGGGTATCAGGACAATTTAATTGACCATCCGCTAGTAACTCAAATGATTCCAGGCAATTAAGATATTTTCTATACTCTGGAGTTAGGCATCAGGGAATTTGGCCTTTCCATGGTGAAAAATACACTTCTACCACTAGTTGATGCCTAACATTCTGCAAGTAGAACTTCAGTCCTTTGGCTTAAGGCTTTTCCCTTGTTAAAATGCTACCCTCAAAAGAGGTAGCATTAAGCCTTATAATCTCAAAGTAAATGAATTTATCCCTTTCCTGAGAGCATGTTTTTCTTAGAGAGGAGGAGAAGGAAGTAGGAGGCACTGAGGAGAGTTGGTGCTGGGAAGCGAGGTTTGGGAGAATGGAGCAGAAAGAGGAGAGGGAGGATCCTGGTGACAGACCTCCAACTCAGTCACTCTTTTGTTGAAGGGCTGGCCCTGGGAGCATCCCTGCTGAAATGGGTGTTAAATTGCCACCTGGAGCATATTACTTAGAAATCAACTATGTTTTCCGACATTAACACTACTAAAGATTCTTTAATGTATAGGCACACAAAGACTTACAGCAATGGAAAAACAGGTAGCAATAAAATATTTGGTGCAACAAGAGATAGGGAGTTAACCCCCCACCCCAAATCAGAAGGACTATACTTGTTCATAGGAAGAAGATAAACTGATATTACTTTAAAGAGTGCAAATCACAGGGCTGGGACGAGGGTAAGGCACTTGCATGGCCCTGAGAGTGGGCACCTCTTTGAATTTTGCGCCCTAGGTGCCTCACTCACCTCACCCTAGTCCTGGCCCTAGCAAATCATATTAAAGCGAAAGCTCACCATTGTGTCACAGACTTGATAATGAAAGGCGGAATGAGTGAGGAACAGAGCACTGAGCGTGAACTCATCTTTTTCCCGACTTGTTCATTGATGAGGAAGAGGGCAGGTGCATGGACAGATCTGCTCAGACAGGTACAGAGAGACTGCAATCGGGTCTGTGTTGTCCAGATAGTTACACTGGATGTCAGGTGCAATGCTCGTTAGGAGAGCCTGGTAGGATCTCCTCTGTCTGCACGTTCAAGGTAATTTATCCAGATCAACTGGTCAGTTTGTGTTCATTAAGCTAAAATTATTTATTTCGCTTCCTGTTGTCTCGCTTCCTTTATGGGTGAGTTGTGCTAGGGATGCAGTTCATGGGATTTGGGACTGAGGGATAAGTTGGGGCCGGTGGGGGAGGCCCAGTCAGGAGCTGAGGCAGGCCAAGTAGTGCAGGATGAAGAGAGGAGATACCAGCAAAGCTTGCTATTGTTCTATTAATAACTATCCTCAAAAACATGTACTGACTACCCACCAAATGCAAAGCATCCTTGGTTAACAGTTAACCTCCTCCCCTGGGGATGGTGACTAGATCAAAGTCAGGCTAGCAGAGCCATCTGTTGCTACCGATTGGAATGGGGAGGAAAAAAGAGGATAGGGACAACTTGAAATGGAAGCTGACCTCCTAGGGCCAACTTAATTTCACTCAAATCTCTTCTCTATTCCACCTTCAAAAATCATTATCATTATTATTTGTACTAGTAATCGAAGTAGTGCTGGATTCTCTGTAAGCCTTTCTGAGAGGGGCTTTCAGCCTCTCTTCTCCAGTCTCAGCAGAGCAAGTGCAGAAGGCAACAAACATTGTGGTAAGTGCCTGGGTGGGAGAGAGAGTGGTGTTATGATAATCAAAGGTAGGAGAGAGGTTGAGTGTTAGGAGTGGGGAATATGCTTGGTGTTCTGTTAATTAGTTATTAGTAGAAGTTTTACAGTTTGGTTGTTTATTTGGGACTATGTTTACCTGTTGCAAAATATTAAATGAGGCCAGGCACGGTGGCTTACCCCTTTAATCCCAGCACTTTGGGAGGCCAAGGCAAGAGGATCGCTTGAGCCCAGGAGCTCAAGACCAGCATGGGCAACATAGCAAGACTCCCATCTTTACAAAAAATTAATTTGAAAAATTAAATGAATACTTCCAGTCTTAAATGTCCTCTCTGACCATATGATTTCTGCCCCAAATCCTCTTGTGCTAATGGGAACACCACTGGGTGGGCCACAGTGATGATGTAGAAGATATTCTAAGAATTCCAGGCATATAGAGTATTGTAGAGGAAAGCAAGACTAAAGGTAATTGACAAACATAAAGGTGTCTGAGCATTCAGTTTCAGAATCTTTTGGGAAAACCTCCAGAGGTAGCAAGGTGAGGGGAGAGGCAAAACCCGTTAGAAGTAGTAAACAAGAAACTTCCAGGAAAGTCAACAGAAGTAACAAGGCCTATACTATGTGACTCCCATACTCAGCTTTAACGTTCAACCAGTCATAATGGTTCCCAAGGAGCAGACCCTGGTGTCTTTTCACTTTTGCTAAGCAAAAGCATAAACGCTCCTTCAGTTACTACAGAGGAAAATGTGTGTTTTTTGGAATTCTAAGTCTGGAGCAGACAAAGGTGGCATTCATATATAAACTGAGGCCAGGGATGAATTGATTTTATTTCAGGCAAAATCCCTGAAATTTCGAATTTGGTTAAGACCTTCACACCAAGTAGTTCTAGTACTTTCAAAAGCAACTGGGCCTTGCTGTTTATTATTTTAAGTGTCGAAGTGCTGGTTGCAAGGGAGTTGGTGGGCCTGGCCTGTTTCCAGAAGTCTCAGATTCAGAACTATAACAACAAAGGGCCTAGGCCTAGAGCTTCTCTTGTGAGAGGCCCAAGTTTTCTCCGTACTTAGTGTGGTTTTTCAGCTGCTCTGTCCAGCTGGAGTGTGGGCAGTTGAGCTAAGAGGTGGCTTCTCATTGGGCAATATAAGCTATCAAAGTTGAGAACTGCTTGTCTCTGGAACTCTTACTGCATCCTCCAGGAGGTTGACCATTGAATCTATTGGGTGGGGAGTGAAGTAGGAAGGGGCTGGGGAACTCTCTTTGTGAAGCAGGCTACAATTTCATTCCACTGTTCTTTTTGCCTCTCGAAGACAGTAGACAATTAACTTTCCATCACTGGTCAGCAGGTTTTCTTTGCTCAATGCTTTGTCTTCCTCCCCAACCTCCCAGAAATCAGGCATACAAAAATCAAATGAATCACCGCTCTTGCTCTGCTTAGAAAATTGAGCTGACAAGAATAGTTAGTGCCTATAAGCTTTGTGGGAGGTGGGGGCAGGGAGGGGTCGCAATGATTATTCTGAAGCTCTTTCAGTATGCTATTTACCCAGGTTCTTATGCTCTCCCCCAGCAAGGTTAATTGAAAGCTGGTTAAACACAGAACCTAAATGGCAAAAAGTAGCCCTTTTGTGTGTGTGTGTGTGTGGTGTGTGTGCATTATGGGCCATAGCAACTGGCAAGACTGCCTTTTAGATTTTGGATAGATCCTTTTAGTTTATATGTTCTTGGTTTTTGGAACAGAGTCGGACTTCCTTTAAACAAAACCAAACCACCACAAACCACAATCTGAATTGACTGGTGGGGGGCAAGATGCACTTACTTTCTATTCTCCTTGAGCCTTTGATGATGCTGTTCCTTCAGTTAATTACTTCCTGTAATGAATGTTATATGCAAATGAAATGAGAGTTTTTAGAATGCAGCATGAGCTGGGCACAGATCCTGGCTATCGCTGTTGACAGACATATGGAGGATCTCAAGGTGCACTTGTGAGCTACCTCGGCTAGATCTGAGTGAACAAATGGCTGTCTGGTTTGTTGGTCAAACTTGGTTCATTCAAAGCAACCCAGTCCTGGTCTTTTCTAGCTAATGGGAGTTGCGAGGGGGGCGGGGGATGTCTATATGTTTATTGAAACTTATCACCCTGATCTCCGTGTAGACAATCAAACTGAAAAAGGCATTAAGTTCCAGGATGGAGTCACAGTCATATTCTGCACCACAAAAGCCATCCAATCAACCCCATGCCGAAATAAGTGCACCCTGCAAACCTCTCGCAAGTGCAGAGGAAAGCTAAACTGTGGTTGAGGAGGCATCAGAGTCTTTCTGTGTTTGCACACAGGGCCATCAGAGCCTCCCTAGGAAAGTGAATAATGAGCAATGGCATCCTATGCCCCCCAGGTTTGGCAACCTCCAATCTGCTCTCACACTGCACTCCTCAGTGACAGGAGCCAGGGATGGAGCAGCCGGGTTATTGAATTGAAAAAGTGGCACATGTGCCCTGGCATCTGAAAATTTCTTCTTAGTTAGTGCACACCACTGGGGAAAATAAGAAGAAACTCGGTAGTCAGTCATGACAAGCTTATAAGTATGAAAACACAAAAATGTCTGAAGATGATTAAGTGCCAGATTGATTTTAGCTCTAGATGAAGTAGCCTCTCTCCTGCTGTCCAGAATGTGAGTTCATGTAAAAGAAATGTAGGCTCTGTTGTTATTCCCACGGTTCTGTTTAAAGACCCTTTCTCTTCCCCCTTCTCTAGTCAAGTTTAGTAAGTAAATCCTGCTTGTTGAGCCCAGGGCTTAGGTACTGGGGTTATCGGTGGTTTCATAGTCTTTTGAAAATTGTGCAATAATTCTCCGAGCCAGTGGGTTAGTGGTCTTCAGCAGTTCAGCTGCTGAGGGACGAGACCTTGGAGTTGCCTTACTTCCCTTCTTCTGTAGCAAGGCCTTGAAATCGTCATTTCTGCCAGCATCTAGGTTGGCACTGCTGCCTGACCCTGTGGTGGCGGTAGACTCACTGATTGGAGACTCAGCTGTGTTCTTTATTGGTGAGTGGGAACTTGTTCTGCCGCCCACAAAGGCCTCACCAGGTTCCTTCCAGCCGAGCAGCTTCCTTTTGGACCTAGATAAGAGAAAGTTTGGTTTGAGTGAGTTCATGCAGCAGACATTTACCAGTGCTTCACAGGCCCCCATGCCTGTGACATAATCCAGGCGGCAGCCCTTTAAGCAGCTGTATTGATCTGCTTTCTCTCTCTCTCACCTCTAAATCCTCAGAGACCCTTGTTGGGCCCTCCCATCCCCACATTCCTTTCAATGCCCCCAGCTGGAGTCACTTGTCCTGTGCCTGTAGCCTCAGTCCTGCCCAGGTTCTGGGACCAAGGATGAATTTCAGGAGTCAAGGCTAGTAGCTCAGTGACTCTGAATCAGGACAGCCTGCGGACTGATCCTGTTCTGGACTTGTGGTCTAGCTCCATTAATAAGACTCTTCCCAGTTTTCTTGTCACTGAAACCCTGCCTTGTAATCCTGTCCAATAACTGGTCCCCATCTTGTTCCTCTTTGCCTAAGTTCCTGTTTTGATATGCTGCCTGGTGCCCCACTTCACCTCTTGATGGGATTTTTTTGGTACAAGGAATTCTGTGAAGGGTTAAATGTCTCTGACTATAGACAGAGCTAAGAGAGAGCAGATGGAGCCACAATAGGCCAAGTGGTTGCTAAGAGACGAGGGGCCTCTCACTCGGCACCTGGTCCTCCTCTCCCCTCCCTTCCTCCACTTTATCCAACGACATCAGTGAATTTGAGATGCGAGGCCCTGGACTGCGCTCACATATGTGGGTATCTGAACTTAGCCTCCAGGTGCAATTCTAATGGCTGCTTAGAGGTAGCAGTTTTTTCTTACTTTTAATTTTTTTCTTTTTCTTTTACAATTAGGATTTCAATGTGGAATAGCAGTTTTTCTTTAAGTACAAAAAGGGAAGGCAATTGCAATTAGAATTAAGGAAACTGGTGCAGACCTGTGTATCACAGTAAATAAATCTTCAGTTGTGCGTGAAGCCACAAACACGTCATCATCATCCTCCGCAATCCATTCGGCTGTTTTATCACTGATTAAACTTTTTTCTTCGGTGCCTGGTTCCACAGAACTCCCTAGACATAAAAAACCAAAAGGAATGACTTTGACCACAATAGATAGGACAAAGTACATTCTCATATGTTATTTCATTTGATGGTCAAAGCAACTCTATGAGGGCAGCAGGGTGGAGATTTTTAATATCTCCATTTTGCAGAGGAGGAACATGAAGTTCAGAAGCTTAAAGATTTGCCCAAGGTGAAGTGAGTGGTGAAGATCAGCATGGGTCCCTATTCTCTCATGCCTTTGTTATTATAACGGGTGGCCCGAGCATTCTCTTGTTTTAAACACTGTAAATAATTTCTCTAAATGAAGGAGCTGGGAACGATCTAAAGTACTGACTCCCACCCAGTGGGTTAGAGTGGAACCTACTTGAATCTCAGAGGGGAGCCTGTGGAGTCTGAGGAAGCGTTTTCTACAACTACCTGGGGCTTTGATTTATTTGCTTGGCTTAGTCATGATTGACTCATACTGAAAGTCCAAATCTGCATATAGAAGGCCATGAGATTTCGATTTTTGGTGTTAAGGGTTCAGAAAAGAATGAGAAACATGGATGAACACTGACAACATTAGCTAAGTGGAATAAGCCAGTACAAAAAGACAAATACTGTATGATTCCACTTATATGAGGTGTCTAGAGTCAAATTCATAGAGCCAGAAAGTAGAATGGTGGTTGGAGGGAGGAATCTGGGGGGAGGGAGAAAGAGGAGTTGTTGTTTACTGGGTACAGAGTTTCAATTTTGCAAGATGAAAGGAGTTTGGGAGATTGGTTGCTTAACAATGTGAATGTGCTTAACACGAATGAACTGCACACTTAAAAATGGTCAAGATGGAAATGTTATGGGTACTTTACCACAATTAAAACAAAGACAGACAGAAAAAGAAAGGATGAGAAACATTATGTATTATGTTTTATGGTTCCAGGAAGAGCCAAAGAACTCAAACCACCCAAGAAAGTGAGCTCCCTTTCCTCCAGAAGGCACAAAGAGAGGCTGCTGGTGGCAACATATTCCATTGTTTCAGATGGTTCCAAGCCTGCCATGGCACATGAACTCAGTCTGGTGGGGTATTGAGTCCCATGTAGGGAATTAAACTCAGTGCAGCCAGTGAAAAGTACTGTACAGTGAGGTGGAGGAGTAGTTCCCATGATAGGATGCATGCTTGGCTAGGGACGTGGGATGCTGAAGTCCTAGGGTGCTAGAACCTAGTTTGATTTCATTATCTCAGCACTAGGGATTTAGAGGGGAGAGTGGCCTAAACTGGGCCTTGGAGATCTGCCTCGGGCTAGTCTTGATCTCAAGGGCAGTAAGGCCAGCCCGTGGTTCCTATTTAGAATAACCCAAACCCTCAAGAGGTGCCCGCACTGACTTAGGATCAGGATAATTATTCTGGGGCATCTGCTTCCATCTCTGGCACTTCATTCTCACCCTCATCTCTCCTGTGACTGAAGGAAAAAGCCAACAGACAGTTTACTAACCCAGAGGGCTTGCCTCCCTTTCACTGTCAGCCTGAGGAGTTGAAGTCACCCTTTGAGCAAGTGATTGCAGGTCATCGCTGGTGGGGGGACACTTGGCGTCTTCCTCCAGGGTGATGATGGGGCTAAGAGGCAGCCTTGGTTCTGCCACATAGGCCTCCATTTGAGCTGTGGGAGAAGTGAGAGGCAGGTACAGCACGCTGGGTTTTTTTGGTACGGGAGGTGGAATCTTGCCTTTCTTTTTCTCAGCTTCTTCCTGGCTCTGGAGGCTAATTCTTTCAGGCAGGGCCCTCACCTTGGGGCCCTCGTCCTCCACACTTCCCTGGGGAGGCTGCTGTGTTCCTGAGAAGAAAGCACCAGAGGAACTGGCAAAAGGCGTGAAAACAAGAGATGAGGGTGCTGTTGACTCCCCTGGGCTTCTGCCATCTGGGAAGCTGGAGGACTTTGGTTTCCGCACTACCGTGTAGCTGTCTTGAGGGAGTGGTCTCGCATGTTGAATTGAGCTCCTGGGGGGCATAGCCAAGGTTGGTGAAGTTAGCGCATACTCCTCAGGAACAGATGGTGGCTTGTGGACCAAGCTTGGAGGCCTCCGGGCCACCGGAGGCTTTTCAGCTACGGGAGGTTTTGTCTTTCTCTCTGGCAAGGTGAAGACTTCTTCTGCTCTGGATTCCTCGGCACAGTCAGGGCTCTCAATGTCATCTTCCGGCTCAGACTTGCTGACCGACCTCAGGCGAACAGAACGTAGGTCGGACTGAGTAACCATAGGCATGATTGGCTGGTTGGGATTAGTTTTTTGGGCCAGCTTGACACCAAAATTTGTCTCTGAGTGGTGCCGACTCACCTTGGTTTTGCTTCGGATGGAGATACTCATCCCAGACAGATCCAGGTTGGGTGAAGAGGTCAGTGGTAGGTCAAATGATAGCCGTGACTTGGGAAATTTCTCCATTGGTGACGTTGGGGGTAGTGATGACTTCCTCTCAGGTACCACTGGACGTACTCGGACACTGCTGCTTGGAGGGGGTAAGTGGCCCAGGGTCAGGGACATGGAAACAGTAGGTGTTGGTGTTTCTGACTGGCTGGAGTAGCCACTGGAGGGTGACATCAGTCCAGGGGGCCTTCCCGGGGAGGATATCTCCCTGGCCTCCACTTCAATGGAGAGTTGGGAAGGTGTAGTGGCTCTGGAGGTGGAAGGCGAGGCAAGAGACTCTGAGCTGCCCTGAACTTGGGTGCACTCAATGACTGTGGTGCCAGTGGCAGTGCTGGAGCTGGACAGGGATTGGTAGGTGTCACCAGACTTCCAGTCAGTAAGATACCAGTGGTGGGAGAATTGTGTACCTTCTGGATCTTTGTGGTTTGGAACAGCTGGGTGACCCTGAGCATCTGGGTGGGACGAGTGATGTCCTTGGTGTTCCAAGGAGAGGCAAAGGCTCTTGGGCCTCTGGTCCTTGGGTAGTGCTGACCCACCTTCAGGCAAGAGGCCTGGCTCATCTTTGACCAGTGAGACACTGCGCGTGGGTGGGGAAGGCTTCTTTTTGGCCTTCCTAAGTGAGATACTCTTGGACCTCTGCCTTCTGTGCTGGGCCTCTTGCTGGGCACTAAGGGAGGCGATGTTGTCAGCACTGTTACTGCCCTCAGAGCTTGTACTGGCAAAAGGCAGGGCACAGGCCTCATTGGCCTTCTGCTCCTCATCATAGTCCACATCTGTGGTGCCTGAGTCTGTGGGCACAGACAGTGACCGCTCCCGGAATCTGCTGGCCCCGCCGGGGCCTGTCTCCAGCCTTGTGGTCCCACTGGTCAGAAGGCCAATCTTGGAGGGTCTTTCGGGCATGTGCCTTCGCTGAATAAGGTGCTCAGGGTAGCCAGCTGACCCACTGCATCCTGCTGGGTTATCACGAGCAACAAGGAGGGTAGCAGCCTCCTTAGGAACCAGAGGTGGGACTTTGTCTAGAGAGACCCAAGAATTCCCACAGGAAGGATTTTTCCCATTTTCATTGACTTGATTGCTCTGGCTGGTGGCACTTGGAGTCATGTAGGTAAAAGCATCTCCCTTCCAGGAAGTGGAGAAGGTTGATTCTGTAGGTCCATTGCAAGAACTGGGGACACTGTACACCATTCCCATGCTCTCCATGCCAGGAGGGTTTGGGCCACTCCGCGCCTGGTGAGGTTCGTCCGGCTCACTGGAAGGAGTTCTCAGTCCTGGCGAGGTGAGACTTGGGAACCGAGCATCCTGACCAACTGCAACTCTTCCATGAACTCCTTCCAGAATTGAGTGACTGGGCCTGATGTCAGAGGTGGTAGAGTGGGCCACACTGCCTGCTGGGCTGTTGCTGTGACCTGGAGGAAATAAACACAGGACATGAGTGCTACAGCAAGGGATCTCCCACCAGCTGTTTTGAGACAGAAGCACCAACTTTTTGCCAAGAAGCATTTGCCAACAGCTTGGTCAGAATTCCTTGGTTCTTCCCTTCCATGGATGAGGATGCTGGGGAAATTGGGTCCTTGCCCGTCACCCCACAGTGAGTCACACGGTGCCCTTGAATGGTCCAGATGGCTGCCAAATACTTTCCAGCTTTGATTATTCCTCTTAGAGCTGAAGTGTCATGTGGGATTACCTTGCATTTTCCCCATACTTTCACCCCAGGCTCATGAAACCATCACAGACCTCAGCATTCATCCATCCGGAGATGAGAGTAGAGGCTTCCGAACTAAGGACAGCATGGTGTGACGTTTGGCTCCAGCAGTGACTCTGGAGTATGCCCAAACTGCAAAGCTAAGAGTCTGGTTGCACTGTTCACATCAGTCACTTTTAAGCTTTGCAACATAAGAGGCTGAGGATAACCTACAGATGTGAGGAAAACGTTTGGATGTTCCAAATCCCCAAACGTTTTCTCATACACACAAACAATTACTACTGTCATGTCATTATTATTATTATAACTACTACTGCTATGAGAATTTGTAGTAACAGCCACCATTTGTTGGACACTGACTATGTACCAGGAACATGGTAGGCAAGTTACATACAATAACGTTAGTCTTCATGCTAATTCCACCGGGTTGGTATCATTATCCCCAGTTTATAGATGAAGAAGCTGAGGCTCAGAGAGGTTATGTAACTTGGCCATGGTCTCCCAGTTAGTAAGCGGAAAGACCAGGGCTCTTACCCTCTGCTATCTCCCTGGTCTGTGCTCCTGGCCAGCATTTACTTAATGGTAGTAATGGTTCTGTTAAGATGATGGTGAGGATCCCTCTCTCCTCATCTATTTGCCTAAATTTGGCATATCTGGTTATATTACATTTATAATGGGAAACAATAATGTAATGGATTCATTAGCCCGGGAGCCCTATTCTCCATATTCAGTTGATGCCCTTGACATGAGGCCCTTAGCTATTCTTAATTACCATATTGGCTTTTTCAGGACATCCGGAGGCCCCCCTCCTCCACCCAATTATTCCTGTTCCCCATCACCACAGTACCACCTGGGTGGCAGGATTGGCGGGAGTGGGTAAGGGGAAGGGACTGGGGAATCAGCTGTGGTGGGGTCACCTTGATCTCGTTGGGAAAAGTTAGAGAATCCAATAATGGTCCGCCTCCGCCTCAGGGTGGACTTGGGGTTCACGGCTGTCTCTGTGTTAAACAACGAGTGTCGCAAACTTGCATGTTTATCAAACTGCTGCCCTGTAGCCAAAATAAAGACACTTGGGTGCATCCTGGTTTCTGTTTAAAGCACAGTGGAAATTGGCCTGAGAGAAGAGAATTACGGCAGTTGTGATGAGCATGAATAGCATCCAAGGCAGGTGGCACTTCTTCCCCATCTTTCCCAACTTGGCCCTGGGCATGCATGCTGGGTTTCCCAGGCTGCACCCAGGTTACCTGTAAGTCTTAGGTGTTCTGGGGCAGTGGTTTTCAACCCTGGGCTACATATTAAAATCAACTGGGCAGCTTTTGAAACTGCAACACCTGGACCTTACCCCAGAACACTGAAATCTCTGGGCGTAGGGCTCAGGTAGAAGCATTTTCTAGAAGTCTTCAAGTGATTATTCAGAGGTACAGCCAGGGGTGAGAACCACTGGTGTAGAGCAGCGGGCTGGGACTAGATGCTGCCTGACTGTGATCTTTTCTCAGAGAAGGTCTTTATATGGGCCAGGTGAGGCCAGTGTCTCCAAGAGGCTGCCCCACTGCCCTCCACCATCCAGGAAAATGCCTGATAGTCTGTCCTACAGTCTCCTGGTCACATTTTACCAAAGCTGGCCCACAGCATGGTGATTGAGTTCTATTTCTTTCTCTTTCTCTCTCTCTCTCTTTTTTTCCTGGCACTGGCTTTTCAATTTAGGGAAATTATTGACACAGATTATAGTTATCACTTCATCTGAGTTACATGGTACTTTCAAAATACCTGTTAATTCAGTTTGTTTACTGACTTGATAATGTTTTCAAATTCAACGCAATTAAAATGGAAGATTTCCTCTTACTTAATATTATTTAAAAAAATTTTTTAGAGCTCTATTTCTCTTAAAGTGCTAGGTCAGTCTTTGGGTGCTGGGAAATGGCTGGGTCAGAGTCAGGGCAAGGCAGGATGGTGGGGCGAGGTCTGTGATTCCACCTCCCTTTCTCTCATTCAGCAGCTGGCTAGCCAGACCCTCCCCCGCCAGCCACACAGCTGCACACGTCCACAGACTCCTCAGCAAGTGGCTCTGTGGGCAAAGCTCAGGGACAGCCTCATTGAGAGGAAGACAGACATTTATTTATTTATTTAAAGACAAAGTCTCACCGTCACCCAGGCTAGAGTGCAGTGGCGCCATCTCAGCTCACTGCAACCTCTGACTTCTGGGGTCAAGCGATCCTCACACCTCGGCCTCCCGAGTAGCTGGGGCCACAGGTGTGCGCCACCACACTTGGCTATTTTTTTGTATTTTTGGTAGAGATGGGGTTTCACCATGTTGCCCAGGCTGGTCTTGAATTCCTGAGCTCAAAGGATCCACCCACCTCAGCCTCCCAAAGTGCTGGAATTACAGGCGTGAGCCACTGTGCCTGGCCAAGATAGACATTTAGACACAAAATGTTCAACATCATTTCTGGAGTCTTTCCTCATCAGCCCTCACTCCTTTTGGTATATTTCCCTAGGCTGTGGGCTCTATTTCCTGCCTCTGATTTTCTGAAATGATGTCAGTGACAGTGGAGGACCCCATATCCAGGGAGCACTGCCACGTGTGGCCAGAGCTGTCCTCATCATCTTTATCAACATTTTCCAGCAGAGCACAGGCTGGCGCTGGCTCACAGGACCCCTCTGATCCCTTTAGGTTACTGAGATCATGGTTTCATCATGCTGCGTGGCCCTATCTCCTTCTCAAATGACTGGCCCTCCTTCTCTTCCCCTTACAGCTGATGGAGTGTAGATCATGGATTAATAGTGAGCATGGTATAGTGTGCCACATGCCCCCAGAGCCACAGCCAGCTGGGCTGCATATAATACATCATGTTCCCCACTCTCAAAGTTGTACTGGGTCCCCTTTTGATCTTTTTGGCCTTAGGACCTTTCTACCACTTCTTTTCTTGAAAACTTGCCAAACAAGTTGAGGAGGCCCACTTTGCTAGAAGACTAGTGTCCAGTGAAAGTGCCACCAGGCCTTTGGTCTGTGCCCAGGTGTGATCCTCCCTTGTTACCACCAGCACTCCAGACCCTACTCTCCCGCTCCGACTCTTATCAGTGTAATCCAAACCCAGCTGTGGGCACAAGAAGTTGTCTTGCCCTGACCCAAACAGAACTCACAAACTTTAAGTTTCCATATGTGCTCTGAAGAGCACACAAGTTCATAAGGCTTTGAAGCTTTCTGTTAAGAAAATTTTGTTTGCTATCAAATAGTCTCAGTTAGGGTGGCAGTGCCAGGAGGGGGTGAAGAAAGAGCAGCCAGCGCCCCCTCTTCTGCATGCCTCCGTTCCCTGGCAAGAGCCATGACCGTGACAGCGCAAGGTGAGCCGGTAGCAAAGAAAATCTCACTTCCCTCCCCCAACACCCAGTGCATTGAAGAAGATGGTCTGTAGAGGCATGAAGGGAAGAAGGCGGTGCTAAGCAACTCTACCAGAGATGTTGATGGGCACAATGTCAGACTGCGTGGAGCAAGGCTGAGGCCACCGCTTCTCCTCTAGGATGGGCAGAGGGAAGAGGTTATTCCAGGCAGTTTGCTTGTCGGCTGTGGTAGACAGGCTCAGGGAGGCCTCGGGGGCCCTCACACCCTGGGTGGTAGTCTCATCCTCGCTCAGCTGCCGTTTTGTAGGCTGTTGGGAGAGAAGGTGATGGAAAGGGTGTATTCCTGCCCGGCGATGAGCCAGTGCCCATAGGGTGGCTGTTTAGGCTGGGTAGTTGGAGACTTCGTCTGGGAGGCAGGGAAGCGTGGACAGGCCGCCAGGCCAGGCACCTGCTGTGCAGGGCCCATCCCAGTGGGGCCTCAGGGTAGCTCTGCTGGTGAGCAGAGGTGAGCAGCTTCCAGTGGGTAACGTAAGCAGCTGGAGGTCTCCTGTCAGTGGGTGCATGCTGGCTCTCCCAGGTGGGGGATGAGGCAACTCACCATCAATACAAACTCCAGACGCCTGGCAGACTGGGGCCTTGGGTTGGGGGTGGGCTTAGTGGCCTCATCAGAAGAGCGGAAGGTCTGCCCCACAAGTCTGGCCTCCGAATACTGTTCCTCATATTCTTCTGAAAAATAGCACAGTGGAGACACACACTCTAGGGTGCCACGGCCAAGTGCTGGGCCGGAGAAGGGCCATGAGCCAGGGCTCCTGCTCTAGCTGCCAGGCCTGACTTGCATTTTCTTTAGGCTATTTCCAGGTGTTCGAGCCACTGGATTTGGAAATGGAAAAGTGCTTGCTTCCCAGGACCATGAGGGTCGAGGAGAAGAGAAAGTCAATAAATTCATGCTGTGGTGGTTTGGGGACCAAGCCCTTATCTCAATGACCCCCACCTTGAGTGCTCAGTTACGAAAAGAGGCTCAGAATGCAGACACCCTTTGCTACTTTGGACTGCAAGTTCCTCTCTTTGAAGCCCTGCAGCTCTTAAGGTTTTCTGCAACCCTACCAAGGAAATGACCTGTGTGAAGCAAGAAGAGATTTACACCAGGAAGTCCAATCTGGAGTTCTTTCTTGGATGTCAAGAACTCTTACTTGAGCCTTTGTGGGCTGGGTTCCCTGCACCTTAGTCCCTCTGTGAGTGGTGTCAGGTCTAGGAGGGCTAAGGTGAAGGAGAGGGGAGGAGGAGGTAACAGCACAAAAGAGGCAGAAGTTCAGCGGCATCATCAGTGAATAAGGATGCACAAGATTTGAATGGGGTTGATTGAAGCGATGAATTTGATGAATACATGAAGAAAGTGAGAGTAGAGAAGGGACATTCATGCTGCATGTACACTGAACAAAGACTCTTAGAATCATAGAGATTTGGGGTTGCTCTTGGGGTTCTTTGGTCCAACACCTCATTCTGTGCCCAGACTCCCTCCTCAGCAGCCCTTCTAGGTGCTTCTTCAGCCTCAGCGCACACACCTGCAGGGAAGGGGAGCTCCCTCCCTCCCAAGGCAGCTCATTTCTTCCACGGACAGTTGGGGCTGTCAGGCGTGTCAGAAAGTTCTTCCTTATCTGGAGGTGGAATGTGCCTCCTTCTGGGTTTCCACCCACTGGTCCTAATTCTGCCATGGTAGCAACACAGAGCACATCAACTCTTTTTCTGCGTGGCAACTCCTTTGTTAATCTGAACACAAGGCTCATGGTGTCCCTTGGCATCTTGCTTTTCGAAGGTTACCACTGCCCTGGTAGGGGGTGGGGGTTATGGCTGTCATCCCGTTGGTGGCCCATCAGCAGTTTTCTATTCGCCATTAGAGTTAACCTTTATTAGTATGGATAAAGGAGTGCTGACAAGACCTCTTTTCATGCTTAACATCCACTGAGCACCTCTTGGCAGGTGGGGAGGGAATCCAGCCTTGTGCCAGGTGCTTCTGGAAACCCCAGGGTAGTAAGATGTGATTCTTTACATGGAGAAGCTCAGGCTGGTTAGGAGGACAAAATAGGTGACTCCTGGGTGCTGTGTATTGGGCTTACTTGGGTGAGGCAGTAGCTATCCAGGGGCGGTTATTGCAAGAGCAGAGTGAGTGAAGCCCAGAGTGGGAGATCCTGCAGATGCCCCCTTTGTCTTCTGGTGCCAGCATCCCAAAGGCATGGGCGATGTGGCAAGAGGGGGGCTGGAGGGAATGGGGGCCCACATTGTGGGAGTCTCCCACCCAGCTCTCGGTGAATGGTATGACTTATGACCCTGCCTCAGTCTCTGTCCTTGTTTCCCCATGGGCTACTGAGCTGAAAAAAGGGGGTGGGGATGGGGGGAAACAGCCCTGGAAATAGCCTCTTTCAGAATCATTAGGCTGAAAGGTGAAAGCTGGAAACTGCTTTGTCGATTGTTTTTAAACTGTTCTCTCTCTTTATCTTGCTGGTCCCTGTCCTCTTTCTTCTTTGCCTCCCTCCTGCCGCTGCGCATCTCGCCTCTGGGCTCCGGCCGCAGCCCCCCTCCCTCTCGGTACCTTGCAACAGGCTCTGGAGATTGAGCTGCGCCTCGCGAAGCAGCTCCTCTACACTCGGGGGCCTGCCCGAGGAGAGGAACACGTTCACTGGCTGTCGCCATGACGACCTCGAGTGGGCAGTCGCTGTCGCATTTTCCCGACCCGAGTTAGCTGCAGCTAGGGAAGGAGAGAGTCAGTGAGAGGCGCAGGCGAGCTGGAGGGGAGCGGCGCGCGGCGGCCAGTGGGCGACCGCAGTTCCCCAAGGCCCGCCCCTGCGTGGGGCGGGGGGAGTGCGAGGCTGCGCTTAAAAGGCGGGGAATCGGCGACCGCAAGATTTTTCCTCGACAGATCCTGCTGCAGTGTGCTCCCTCCCGCTCCGCTCGCCCCTGCCCGCCCGCCCGGTCGCCGCCGCCACCGTGTCGCCCGCATCTTCTGCCTGGCGCCTCCGGGCCCCGTGCCGCCGCCCGCCCTCTCCGGCCCCGGCGACGAGGTAACGCGCCCTGGGCCGAGCCGCCGGGCCCTCCGCCCAGAGCGCCGCCCTCCGAGCTCGCCCCGGTGGGTGTGGCCCGGCCTGTCCCGCGCCCAGCCGCCGCACTTTGGTCCCTCCCGCGCCCCGCCGCCGCATTTCGGCCTCCTCCGGCGGCCTGTAGCTCCCGTTCCTCTTTCCCCACCACGGAGCCCCAGGGCCCCTGGGCTTGTCGAGATGTCTGAGGCGGCAGGAAATCTCAATAGCCTCCGCATGGCGAATGTGGCCCTGCGCGAAGAATTAAATGCCCTTCGCGGGGAGAATGCCAATTTGGGCCTCCAGCTCGGGAGAGCCCTGGCCGAGGTTAATTCCTTGCGGGGCAATGTCTCCAGCTACATCCGTTGGCCAGTACCCATAGTGCCTGTCCTTGCGGAGGAGAACTTGGAGTTCGCGCTCAGTGAGATCGAAGCCATTCCCGGGGGAGAACTGCCCTTCTTGTGCCGGCCTCCCCCACGCGCGGAGCCCGACTGTATCTCAGATGATCTTTTGATTAACGTGATCCAGGATCGCAGCACCCCCGACGGGCCCGCTGATCCCCCTCTGCTGCCCATCCCGCCCCCGCCGGCGCTGCCTCCGCCTGCGTCAAAGGAGCCGCCCCCGCAGCCCCCTCTGCCACCGCTGGAGTGGCCTGAGATAGAGCCCTTTTCAGGCGACCCAGTCTACCTGGCTGAATTCCTGATGCAGCTAGAGACCTTCATAGCCGACCATGAGGATCATTTTCCCGGGGGCGCCGAGCGGGTGGCCTTTCTGATCTGCTTTTTCACTGGCGAAGCCAAGGACTGGGCCATCTCGGTCACCCAGGAAGGAAGCCCCTTGCATGCCAACTTCCCGCGCTTCCTGGATGAAATCCGTAAGGAATTCTGTGGCCCCATCCCCCCACGTGTGGCTAAAAAGGCCATTCGCAAGCTCAAGCAGGGCCACTGTACCCTCGGCAGCTATGCAGATGCCTTTCAGTTCCTGGCCCAATTCTTGTCTTGGGATGACTGCCACCTCCAAAACCAGTTCCTCAAAGGCCTGTCGGAATTCTTCCGCAAAGAGCTCTTATGGTCAACAGAAATGGCCGACCTAGATGAGCTGATTCTCGAATGTGTGGAGATAGAAAGAAAAGTGCGAGTTCCCAAGCCTATCCCGCTCCCTGGGGTTCGAAATATCCTCTTCCCTTTTGCTCCCAATGAGGAAGAAAGTGAAGATGAAGAGTACTACAGTGAAGATGAAGACCAGGAGGCACGCAGGCACAGGCTTCACCCCAAAGACCAGAGGAATCGCATGAGGGCTTTTCAGCAAGAGATGAAGGAGAAGGAGGAGGAGGAGATGAAGAAGGAGGAAGAAATGAAGAAGGAAGAGGAGGAGAAGGAGGAGGAGGAAGAGGAAATGAAACAGAAAGAGGAGGAGGAGGAGATAAGGAACAAGAATGAGGAGGAAGGGGAGAGTAAGGATGAAGAAGATGAAGATGAGGATGGGGGCCAGAAACCAGAGCGGGAGCCACAGCAGGAGCCAGGGACTGAGGAGACCTATGGTGAGGTGGAGGAGGAGCCACTGGATGAGGCCCAAGATGATGATCTAGATGAGCTAATGGAGATGGAGCCGACCTTTGTTCACGCCTCATCCCAGACTTCTGGCCCCACAAATGGTTACCACGCCGAAAACTTCCTGGGTGCATCGCCTCCCATAATACAGCCTAGCAGACGGAGGAACCAGAATCGAGTCCCACTTCTGGAAGGCCTTCCAGGCACCAATTCACCATTCTACAGCTCTCCCCCACTGATTCGCCGCACAGGTCGCTTAGGGCAACGCCAAGTTCGAAGACGCCCCCCCGTGCTTTTCCGCCTCACTCCGAGACAGGGGGGCCACCGAGCTGCTCGTGGCCGAATTCGAGTGTGAGTGCTGGGGCCAGATGGCCACCCAGAACACACCCTTCTTTTGCATCCCCCACCCCTGCTATTGCTGCCATACCTGCCCCATTTGCTGACCAGGACTTCAGGGAGTTTCAGACCTGCAGAACCTGAAGAAGACCTGCAGAATTCCAGACCGTCTTGCAGCCATGACCAGAGAGTAACATGTGCTCAACCAGGGCCACCTGGGAAAGGAGGGATCAGCAATAGCTGCCCTCTTGGCATGTACTCTGCTCAGTCCTGCCACGAGCTGGAGAGCAAGTTTCTGGGCCTGTTCCCATAAATGAACTGGTCACCCTCTTGTATTTCCCCTCTGGTTGTTCCTAACCCACACCTCGCCTGCGTTTCTTCACCCTGTGTTCTACAGTTTTATTCTCTGACTGACCCACCAGGACTTCACCCAATGCCTCACTGATCTGCCCAAATGAGCAAGAGGACAGGCTACCCTGAACTCCTAAAGCCAATGAGGCCAGTTGCTAGATACAAGCAGGATGGTGAGCAGGATGGTATCCAGAAATGTCCCTAGAAGCCTACACTCGTTTCATGCCACACCTCCAGCAGAGGGCCTGGAAGAGGACCCGACATCTAGCCCAGTGAGAGTGTGCAAAGCCACATGTCAAGTGGACAACTTGACCGACATTTGCCCTTGACTGACTGTGCAGGCTGGTTCCACTTACAGCACTTGAGTCTACCTTTGCATAGATTCCTGTATCAGGGCTCTTGGACTGACTTGCCACATCTGGAGCCCTTTCCTCTCACCACATTGCCCTCCTGGGCACCCCTGGTGGACAGCACCCAACATTGCAGGCTCCACCACTTTCCTTGATGTTGCCTAAAGGGTAGCCAGTTAGGGTTTGGGGGAGAAGAAGGAGGAGGAAGAGGAGGAGTAGAAAGAAGCAGCAACGATCATTCTGCCATTGTAAAGAGTGACTCTTTCCTTAGGGATGGTAGTCTTCTCCCCTTGCCAGGCCTTGAACTGCAGCCTCCAGTCTTTGCAGGACACTTTCTATCCTTGGAGTTGCAGAGGAGGACTGATTGGCCATTCCTTCTGGGACAGACAGAGAGAGGGCCCATGGCCTGCTCTGAGCTCCCTTCAATTTTAAGGAACCCTTAGTTCTGAGAGGAGAGAGGAAGGCTGCTCCCACCCAGGAAGCTGGGACCCCTTCATGTCTCTGACATGGGGTCCAACCCCTGGCCTGCTGCTGTGCTTCAGTGACACAGTAAAGCTTAAGAGGGTGGCTGCCTCCTAGGAACTCCTGGGACTTCTGGGTACAAACTCAGGTGCCCTTATAAAGAGACCCGCTGCTTGCCTTGAGTCCAGAAAGCACTGCTGCTGCAGTGAAAAACACACACTATGTCAGTTCTGGCCACAAAATGCCAGCCAAATCCACTGCTGGCCTGAACTGCCCCTGGACACTGGACTTATTGCACAGTGACTGGCAGCAGAGTAAGTGCAGCCATGGTTTGTGGCCAAAGGAAAGAAAGCATAGTAAATTCAACCTCTGTTCCTCATGGGAGTCTGACCGATAACCTCAGGCTGACCTTAGGATCTTGGGCCTGGAGGCAAGAGGAAAGAGCTGGAGGAAGAGGAGTCGCAAAGAAACCCAGTCCTCTGACTGGTTTCTGGTGAGGTCTCTATTCATCAGTGGGAGGTAAGATGCCCTTTTCATTAGCGCTTTTGTTTCTCAGCCTGGGGATCAGTGGATTTGGGTTCCTATAACCTGTTGCTACCTTTTTAAAAGGTCCCCTCTCTCCAAAGAGAAAAGTAATACATAATCATTAAAGAAAGTCTGGAAAATAGAGAAAACTATAAGGACAACTCCCCCCTCCCCCAGACATTAAGAGTCCCACCACACAGAGGCAAGCACTATTAACACTTTGCTGCCTTCCTTTCTAGTGTGTTCTTGCTATGTCTTGTCAAACCTGAGCTCATCCTGCCAGGTCTTGATCAGCAGGATTTAAAATGGCTGCCACCTGTGCAGTCGTGCATACTGAATATTCATGTAAACATTCTCCTAATTTGTTGGACCTTTCAATCGTCTGGTTTTCCCCATCCCCACCAGGGCAGGAGTAAACAACTTTGTAAAGAAAATTTTGTCTGTTTTTCAGCTGATTTTGTCTGATTTCCTCAAGAACGTATTCCAGGAGGAGACCTGCTATTCTTCGAGGGGACCTGCTATTCTTCGAGGTGGTGGATCCTGTTTGCTGATGGTCGACACTCTGGCCCTACTACCTCATGTCCCTGTGAGGAGTGTGAAGGACGGGTGCCTTAAACCCACACTTCCAGGGGCCCTTCAGCACAGGTCCTGCCTGTTCCCATGGTGCTTCTCACCCCGAACCCTCAGAGCCACAGCCAGGGACAGAGCAGATGAGCAGTGAGCTGGTTTCCACCCTCTGGGGGCAGGAGGGGCTTGGGCTTCCCTTGGACCCTCTTCCTTCCTTTCTCAGATCTTCAATATTTGTTGTGATGTAACAGCCATAAGAGCTGTAAGAGGAACTGTGGGCTTTGGGAGCTTTCTTGGGTTGAAAGAGGGGTGGGGGGAGGGGAAGCATGCAGGGATATGAAGGCAGCCCAAGGTCTCCCAGAGGCTCGGGAGGAAACTTGTTTGGAATACATGTGTTATTGTTGCATTACTGTGTTGTGAAGATAAGAAGCTGCTCTGTATGCTAAAGCTTTCTCTCCTCAATAAAAATATAAAGGGTGTGTAAAGATTGTGTCTCTTTGTTATTGAGCAAGCATAGATGGGTACAGAGTAGGC